AAGCATTCACAATAGCAGCAATGGATTACACAAACATCCTAGCATTGTAAATAAATTAACACCTATAGTGGGATAGAAATATATTCTTTATCCAAGTAGGGGTGATAGTATTTCATTTATTGGTAACCTTCATGTTGGAGTTTCCCTTGAAGTTTACCTGCTCAAGAATGGCTACCCTTGTCCTGAACCACTGGGTACCTGGCAGCAAGTCCAAAATCAGGCCACCTCTGCAGTCAGGTCACCTCTGCAGTCAATCCAGGGGTCAGGGCACCTGGATATCAGTCCCAAAGAACTCCCTGGAACATCCAAGCAAACACAGCATCTCAGCTCTGCTTTCCTTCTTATACTGTGCCTGCTGATTACAGCATCTGGGCTTGATGAGGCATGTGACCCTCACCTGTTCTGAGGAATCACACACCTCCTCCCAGAGCTGGTGAGCCCCACCTGGCCAGCTAATGAGCTTTGCTGTGGGCCCTTGCCTGCTTTAGCCTCTTAGAGCACCCCTTCCACTGCTCCCTACTCCCCAGAGCCTGCTGTGTTTGTGGAGACAGGGGCTCCTCTGGCTCTTGTGGTGGGTCCTGCTGCTCTGGTTCCTGTGCACTGACCGCTATCCCCTCATCATCCTCCACCACCCCGTGAGTACTTCCTATACCAACCTCTCCTTCCCTATCCCCAGCTTGCCCTGGTGTGTCCTAGTCCCGGCTATAACCATGGCCAGGATTCTCTCCCTCCTCCCCATTGTTCTGCCAGTTCATGACAACCTTCCGCTTAGCAACTGCATGTCCAGTGAGAGTGAAATATTCTCCCACTGGTTTTTGAATGTCAGGAATTCCTGCTCACAAGCCTGCCATGAAGGGCAGTTAGGTTGGTGGGCACAAGTGAAAGGGTTGCTACAGTGGTAGCCTCAGAGAGCACCCTCCTAAAGGATCCCTGTCTGGATCCCTACCTATCTGCTTTTAAGTGGGCATCTTTTCAAAAACTATGCATTACAGGAAGAAAGGTTGAAATATTGAAGCAGAGACAAAAAGTGGACCGGGGCAACCATAATGCACTGCAGACTTTTGGTATGATAGAAATTATAACCAGTCTATAAAAATAAAAACACTGGACCTTTATTTTCCAGTAGGGTGTACTGCATTTCCAACAAACCTTTGTTTGCGAAGCTCTGTTTGTTTTCAGACTTTACTGTATTATTCACAACCATTTAGGCCAGGGTAGGGTAGGGCAATTGGTTGTGTTCTGCATCAATAATATCATACCAAGCAGAAAGAAATATGTCCTTACCTTTTTTTCTTTTACTTCTTGAGGCTCTGTTTATATTGTCATTTTTTCTAGTAGGGCTAAGTCTCATACTTTCATGTACCAGTAAGAAATGTCTGCTCAGGCTAGATCCTTCCAAAATCAGACTATTGTGGCTCTGGCTACAGTTAGGGATAATCAGCTGATGTTTATTGAAATGGTATTGGATTTTAAACTATAGTTTCTCTCTGTTTAATACCAAAATATTACTTTGTACTGGTCTGGCTGGAAATAGTTGTATGCTGCTGCTTAAGTTGAATGATTTTGAAAGATAACTTATTTTAAATGTACTGGTATACAGTTAGTTACTATTTATATTATAGTAACTGCTTTCCATCTTGAGAAAATTCAGTTTTGTATGATGGCATATAAATCTCTAAATAAATAAATTTTGCATGGAGAGTGTCCTGTGAAAAATTCAGAAGGACATTTCTGGAAGGTAATATCTGGGGATATGCACCAGAGATAAGATCCAGCTTTCAGAAAGCAAGTTGATTTAGGCTGAGCCACTTTGGAAAGTGTGTATTTCAGTTTGGGGCCAAATAAGACTTTTGCATTGGAAAATGCAATGCTTTGTAGGTCTAGTCATTGACTTAAATTGTGAAATAAACAACTATATTGTGCACATCCCAATCTCTGAGTGGCCTACCGCTTTTCTGGAGAGTGCTATCACTTAGTTGTCACTCGGGCAGCATTGCTCACTCTTTGAGATGCTGCTCAGAGCACTTAACTGGCTAGCTAAGGCCATTACCTTACAAAGAGACTATTCTGGCCAGTTGAGGTTTCCCTTACATACACAGATTTAAAAGGGACCCATGGGTATCATCCAGACTGACTTTTCAAACATTTTGTAAGGCCTTTATCTGAGAACTTGAAGAGCCACAGACACTTGGAGTAGACAGTGTTGCATCTCCTGGGATAGCTCAGTTGGTAGAGCATGTGGTTGGGCAAAAGATTCCTGCATCGCAGCAAGTTGGGCTAGATGATCCTTGTGGTTGGTCTTTTCCAACTCTGTGATTCTACAGTTAGATGGAACAGTTGAAAAAGTCAGCTTCATATTTTCATAAAACAAAGGACAGTACATTGTTTTACAAAACATTTCTTCCCTCACTGATACCATGTCTTAGTTTAAACTAGGGGTGGGGCTCTCCAGGTGTTGGACTCTAACTCCCATCAGCTCCATCCATCATGGCTGATAGTCAGAGATGATTGGAGTTGAAGTTCAATATCCGAAGGACCACAGGTTAACCATGCCTTTTGAAAGATATATAAAACCCTGCAGTTCCCTAGCTGTTAAGCTCTTGAGTTTATGTTGTCACAGCTTGATCATCCTGAAAAATCCACTTGTATGCAAATATTTTGTTTGGTACAATTATATGTCAGACGTAACTGTTCTTTAACAGCTGTAAAAACAGATCACATCCCTTCTGTTTTGCCTTGAAAACAGTTCACTGGAATACTAAAAGCGAGAATAGAATGGTAGTAACTGCAGGAGAAATGACTAGCAACGTGCTGGTGTTTAACGTCTCCCTCACTCCCTTGTTATAGACCTTTTCATTCTCAAGCTTTTCTTCCTTTTCTACACTTGAGTGCTCACTTTATTATCTAGAAAATGGGCTTCTCAGCAGGAAAGCAATGGCAACAGAATGGGTGTTTGGCACAGCAGGCTCCTTTTGCCAGAGCCAAGTATCTAGTTAGAAAAGGACTGGATATTCCTTTTAAAAAGTTCATTAACTGTTTGACCTTTCCGACTTCCGGGAAGATAAAAGTATCAGTGTAAGCTAGACAAGAAATATGGACCACCAAAGATGCTATGACATCACCATGGGAATTGCTTATAAAAATAGAAACCAACATAATATTGTGGAGCTAAATGGAATCATGTGATGTAAGCTGTGAAACTCACCCAAAGTCATTAATATTCCCTACACTTTGTGGGTAGGCACACTGCTATGCATGCAGCTTTGTGTACTGAGCTTCAGTACAGAGAGTACTCATTGCCCAACATGTACAACCTCTCCAATATTCCCAAACAGGCAGGTTTCTGCTATGATTATCACTTTGCAAGTAACAGAACTTGGAAGATGGTAAATGTGTTCTGTCGGCAGTTTGACAATAGCTGTTCCTGGGGTGTGTCACTTTACACTGCAGTGGGAGACGCACGTGGTTAACTGCTCTGCCATAAGCAGGCCTTTTTTTCAGCCGGAACTGACCAGAACTCAGTTCCGACACCTTTTAGGTGGGCGCTATTGCCATTTTAAGAGAACAAGGGAGGCGCCCATGGTGATTCCCAGCACCATTTTTTCTAGAAAAATAGCACAGGCCATAAGCAAAGACTGTGGAGGGAGGGAAGGATTTGCTGGGATGGAGGAAGAGAGTCATCTTTAATGCACTGCCATCTCAAGTCCTTTGGTGTGGATTGCCACAAGGTTTTATGAGGTTTGAGGGGTAAGTCTGTAGCTAAATAGTTGGTTGGCATCTGTCTGTCTCAGGAGGCAATGGAAGAGTGTGCCTTTGGGGCTGAAGTCAAACTGTTGGAAGGTTGCAGCACCTGCTGTGCCAATACAGGAGAGACATGTTTCCTTTCTGCTGAGGCAGATGAAGGCGTCCACAGCATTTCTTCTCTCTGTGCTCCTCCAAGCGATCATTCTTCCTCTGGTCACTGCTGTGGATACATGACCTGACTGTCTCCAAGAGCTGCAGTCATCTACTAGGGATTACCTTTGGCGGGATTGATGTTGCCAGCCTTCATGTGACATTTGCAGACACCTTTGTAATGCATAGTTGGTCTGCCAATGGGCCTGGTGTCTGAAGCCAGCTCCCTATAGAGCATGTTCTTGGAGATCCTGTCATCTACAAGCCAGTGTAGATGTTGCTGAGACAGGAGTGGGAATGTGGGCTTGGGAGAGCACATCTTTGTTTGAGACTCTGTGATGTCCAAAATCTTTCTGATGCAGTGCATGTGGAAGGCACTGAGGCAGTGATGGATTTATATATAAGCTAAACAAACTATAGCTTAGGGCCTCACTCTCTTCGGGGGCCCCCCAAAAAATTAAAGGGGAAAAAACTGGATGTACATTTCCAAAATATAAGATAAAAAACAACTAAAATAAAACCTACATACAGCAAATGGCTTTAGATACCTATTAGGTCCATAAATTACCATATAGCATATATTCAACACAAAAAACTGTGACAATTTGTTGTTGACAAAGGACAGCTGGACATATAAAGGGCCCCATTACCTTCAGTAGCTTAGGGCCTCATCAAACCTAAATCCTGCCCTGCACTGAGGTGCCACTCCTTGCAGGTGTAAATTGCCCATGTCTCACTACCATAAAGCGGCATGCTCAACATGCACGCCTGATAGACATTCATCTTTGAAAATGGTAGAGCACATGGGTTGCATGTACAAGCTGCCAGGTTCAATACCTGGTGACTCCAGTACTGCTGGGAAAGACTGGTAGTGTAGACAACAGTGAGACAAACAGTAGATGGAGCCAGAAACAATGTCAGAGTCAACCAAAGGCTCATCCACACTTCCGCTTTCATAAACAAGCCTATCCAGCAGCATCGCAAGTAAAACTAAACAGCTAAAATTACCTAACACTGTGATGTTTAGATTGTATCATATACTGTGATTTATGACCATGTCATTACCAGCAGAAGATTGATGAAGTACTTGTTGGGCAAAATTAGATGCCTGTATAGCTCAGTTGGTTAGAGTGTGGTGCTAATATCACCATGGTTGCAGGTTCAATCCCCATATGAGACAGCTGCATATCCCTGCATTGCAAGGGTTTGGACTAGATGATTCTTGGGATCTCTTCCAACTGTGATTCTATGAAATCTGCTACCTACCCCCCCCCCCAAGTTGGTGCTGGAACTGATGCCTGTTTATAGAAGTTCATACTTTTATTCCATTATTATCTATCTGGATGAGAATCAATACACAAACATATATTTGAATATAAACACATGTTTTCATAATGCACAGTGCTTTTCCTTTAGGAAGAGAGGGGACGAACGATGAAGGGCACTGATCTACCTTTCAACCACTTACGTTTACCAGAAGTAAGCTCTACTCTATCCAATCTGGCTTACTTGGTGGATGTGTATTGAATTGCAGCCTTAGATACTGAATTATGTACTAACTCCTGCATTTAGTCAGTGCAGTCAGGGAACACACACTGTTCTTAAAATAACCTCCTAGCTAGTTATGCAACTCATTTTATTGTTTTCCTGGTTCTCAGAGCCTTTGAGAAATGAAGAAGCATGATGGGCAGTAGAAATGGGCTGTTATCAGTCAGCGTTGAAACTATCTACTAGTAACAGTAAATTATTTTACCTATATGGAACTTGTTTAAGAAAAATAGATGCCCAACACAATGAGGAATAGGTACTGAAGAGTACACTTGTGCTACCCTAATATCATGGGAGTTCCAAATGATAGGTATAATGCTCTATGTGCTCTTTAAACCAATGACATAGGAGGATATATGCACATTGTATGGAGATTCCATGCAGTGTTTCTTAGAGGGAAAACATGATATGTATATATTTTCCTAATTCTATGCCACTTTGTTTTAACATCATACAAGGCATTATGATATGCCCTGTTAGGAATTTTGATGGGATGTTTCCTAGCAGGACAACACAAGTCTATAGCATCTGTTTAGTATCGCGTGCTGCCAGCTGCAATGGAGCAGTCACCTTTTGTAAATCAGCAGTGCACATAAAGCATTAGTCATCTTTCCAATTTCTTTTCCTTCTTTATAATGTATGATCTACTGCCCTCAGTGCTATCAGTCCTTATATTTAATTCATTTTTTTTCTCTGAAACATTTTTCAGGCCTGTTCTCTTATGTGGCATTGGAAGCAAATAAGGGGTATTCTACCTCTGTGTAACCTCAATTAATTGATATAAGCTTTACATGCCTGCCTCACTGACGTTACCAGAGTAACAACATGCAACAACTTCTTCTTTAGAATATATTGCTTTTTAAAAATATATTGTATACCTTGAAATTTTGCAACAATTAGCTGTAATAGTGATTCAAAAGAGAAATTCTAAAAGATGAGGCAGCCATTGCAAAACATTTTGGAGAAGAATAAACTCAGGATGGATGGATAATGGGATATAAATTAGGGTACCAAAAGTTAACATGTTTCATAAAATTTCATGCAGATTTCCTGCACTAGGAGCAAAAACTGAAGCCACATATGCCTAAGTAATTTTTTACATTAATGCACTGCTGGTTTATGAGAATAATGATTGCATGCTATATCCTGAAATCTAATAATAGAAATACACCAAAAGATATTCCCTGTCAATCATTGTCACTTAATTTTTCCCGTATGGCTGATATCTGTTAACTCAAAGAGAGAGAAATCAGGCGTTATTTCGTAGGGGAAATATAAATGTAGGAAGAAAATCAGTCATCCTATCTGGAAAACTGAGTAGTAGTTAGAATGCTGAGATTAGTTGATTTCATGTTTCTCAGTGGCGTGGTAGATGCTGCAGCATATCTTATTCTCCTGCCACTATTGTAAGAATTGCAAGTTCAGGGGATGAGTTGATTAAGCGGCTACTTCCAGGCTATCGTCGTCCCTCCTAAGAGATGGAGAAATTCTGGTGGGAGAAGCAATGGATTTAGCAGTTTCTCTGTCCTGCCCTCTCCCCAGCCAAGGAATGCACACATCTGATAGTTAAGTCTTTATTGCCAAAGAAGCACTTACAGCAGCTCCTACAGTGCTCCAGACACACACACACACACACACACACACACACACACACACACAGAAACTTCTAGCCTCTAGGCAGCTGTCCCCATATTTGATGGGGGTGGGCACAACCTGAAGCTATGCCTACACGGAAGCCATCACTGCTCTTTCCTATTCAAATCCCCTCTTGGTTCTAGAAGACAACAAGGTGGGGGATGGTGGTAAGCCCACTTGGCCATCCCTTGCCTCAACCGTCTCTTCCTTCTCCACCACATTGTCCGTCTTGGACTGCCCTGCCCCTTCCTCCTCTCCTCCTCCTGCCCTGGATCCTGCCTTGCAGGCAACACCAAGCCCCATAAACCACTGGCTGGATCACTCTCCTGGATCACTCCCTTGGTACCCCTACCTCTGCCACACACACTTCAGAGCCCTGCCAATTCCTGACACACTCCTCCATGAATCTGAGGTTCTGTGGTCTCTTTTAAAAATCTACGATACTTTAAGCCAGCAGTCCTGAAAGTTTCTGGGTTCATAGGCAGGTCGCAAATTTAAAAAAGGGTTTGAGAACACCATTGCAAAATTACTTCTGCGGGTAGGTTTGCAAGTCACAAAACAGCTGAATCCAAGAAATGCTATTCAGCTTAGAAGTTGGTGGGAAGGACACAATTCCCTGCTCCAGACGCAAGAAGCTCTGGAACAGAGGTCTGATGCAGATAAAGTATTTTTCAAGAATTTACAGGGTGGGTTTTTTTTAAATTAGACACATACTTATGCTTACAGAAATCATGACATTATGGAAAAAATAATTTGGTTTATAGCCTACAGCCTGAAGTTGTCTTGGTGTGCTTCTAACGCTAACGGCAATTTTTTGTCCCTGGTAGGTTTAATTTATCTTGATAATACAGTGGAGTAACAGAATAACTGAACTAAGCAACTAAAATATTAATGAAAAGTAACAACTTGCAACAGTTTTATAACCATTAGATTAACACAGAAACACACAAGGTAACATAGAGATAAGTATTCCAGGAGAAAGTTCAGGAGCCAATCCATTTGGAGTTGTTGCAAAACATTCTACTTCCCCTACTATTCTAATTTGTTCTTCCCCTGTATTTGTTGACGTTTTTAATAGAGACCATTCTTTCCAGCTGAATTAAAACCAGAAAAAAGTCTTTGTAGGAAGCGATTTCTAAGAGTTTGAAAGAACAAAATGCCTCAACAATGCACTTTTAAAAGAGAGAGGAACTGGCTAGTTTCTTTAGAGGGGGGAAAAAGAGAAAAACGTAAAAGTCTGTTCAGTTGCCAGAAGAGTTTGGAGACGTTAAGACTACCGAGAAAACAGCAAATCCTGCCAAATAGCTAAAAACCATAGAGGACCAGATGAATAAGTAGTTTCAACATAAGATAAATAGCATCCTATGCTGCTCATAAGATCCCAAATGTGGAGGCTTTTCCACTTGTGCTGGGATCTGACCCTTGAAACAGTGCATCAGTCACAAGCAACATTGCTGGCTACACTGGTGATCTTCCTCACCTATTCAGTGCAAAGCTGGCACTTGATGCTATACCCCAGAAGCCATTTAAGATTAGTGAATCCCGTACCACTTCTCTTTGCAAAGAAGTGCTTTGTAGTGACAGCTGGGACAGCGTTGGAGGCTTTCTCCTGTTGGCCAAATATTGGATACTGCTGCAAGCTTTTGTTTTAGCACCTGCAACTTATATCACTGCCTGCAAAAACACAATTATAGGGTTATGTGGCCTGCTGGAGAACAACATGACAAGCTTATTATTTGTGCTATAGTTAAGCCAAAAGAGCTCTTGGTCTTCACAAATCCTGCTGGATTGGAAAAGAGTGAATGATATGGTGGCATTCAAGTAATTATTCTCACTGAATCTCTGTGTCCTTCATTCTGGTTGTCAGTCTAAGCCAATGCACATAAAGCCCAGCGTTGTGCTGAAGCCTGCTGGAGAAATACATATTGTTTCTAAAACTTTACTATTAAATGATACCAGGTATGTGGCACCAGAATATAGGAGACTTTCAGTCAAGAAAACTTGAAATATACATAGATATTATTTGTTTATTTTACACGTTTGTCTGCTGCTTTTGGCAAAATTGACCTTGAAATGGTTGACATTTTAAGAATACTTTAAAACAGATTTGTGTTCTGATTATCACAGTAGAAATGTATCTGATATTATGTTTAAACACCTGAAGAGAATTCTGTGCTTACTAGATAGCCTCAGGCAAGTTGCTCTCTGTCAGCTGCAGTATGGTTGTCTCTTACTCATTTTATCCGCCTCAAGACAACTCTCTGATATGGGTTAGGCTACAAGGTAGTGACTGGCTCATAGTCACCTAGTAAGCTTCATGGAGCAGCAGGGATTTAAAGTCTTTCCAGTCTGATTTTGTCTCTCACACCACTATACCACATTTGGCTGGCCATTATTTCCAACAGGCATGTAGACCAGAGGGAAAAGTGAATTGTCAAATACATATAAGGTAATGGTGGGTTTCCCAGCCCCCAGATAAGATGTAGCACAACTTTAGAGGTGGCAACCTGATTAATATCTCACACTTATTTATCTACCCTGTTCACATCCATCTCTTCAACTGATTTACTCCACTCATGATTAATTTGCTTTGCAGATAATCACAACCCTTCTGTTTACTTACTGCTCAAGTAATCAAAAATCTTCCCAAATTTTATCTCCTTTCCCTTGATTCTCTCTCCCTTCATCAACATCAGGACCCTTCCAAACCCATATAAATTCAGTTGACCCCCCCCTTTTCCCTGGGATGGGACTGTCCAACCTCTGCCAAAAAACCCAGTAGGACTCTTTGTAAGTAGTATTTAATGATTTGGCCAATTTTCAGTAAGAGACCTTTGCTGGGAGTGCAGAGAATTAGATGATAACTACAACCCATGTTTTTGGTATAAAGGTTATTTATTTAATATGTGTATATATAGTTTAATACAGTCGTACCTCGGCTCCCAAATGCCATGGGAGTCGAATGTTCCAGCTCCAAAACGATCTAAAACCGGAAGTGAGTGTTCTGGTTTTCGAACTTCTTTTGGAAGCCAAACGTCCGGTGTGGCTACCGCTACTGTTTCTGGCACGCCTGTGCAATCGGGAACCAATTGGAAGCTGGGCCTTGAAAATCATCCAAATTTTCAGAAGTCGAACGGAGGTACATCTGTACTTAAGAGAGTCTTTACACAGTTTACAAAATAGCAGATCCAATAGGTATATAACAAACAATGGAACTAAGGAACTACACTACAATGCAATGTAATAAAAGAATAAAATCACAGAAAACAAAAATATTGTAGCACATTTCAAAACATCTCTCCTGCCAAGACACTGTTTTGTGTATATTTAAAAAAATTATACATGGGTGTGTTATGATGGCCTATATTTGTAATGCCTAATAAAGGTTTGGCAAAGTAAGTCCTGTGAAGACATATCCTGATTCACAAAATACAACACATATCCCACTAATACATATACCCCACGCTCAAAGTCTTCCTTATATCTACACAAATAATACAATGCCTACTACTCATTCAATGTCACTAATTCTGTTCTTCTCCTTCATCTCATACATATCCACCACTACACACAACACAGCATCCAACAGCAATCTGGCTCTTATTCAGGTTGCTATCTCTCACCCAACTCTCTTACCCAAGAATGGGTGCAATTGAATACCTTCTCCCTGGTACGCCTTTCTCTCATCAAGGACATTGATTAATTGAAATCAAATTTGCATTGTGTTAAGCCAAGAGTGGCTTTGAGATAGTAAGAAAGTGGGGATGGACAAATCTGTCAAGTTTGGTTTTCTCATTTTTCATTTTTTCCAAACTTAAATTCAATTTTCTACAATTCTACAGCAATTTATGATTTTAATTTAAAAAAATCTTTATGAAAATCCATCAGCATTTTAGTGCAATTTTATATACACTTTTTGAAAGCAATTGTTCCTAATATAATGCTTGTTTGTATGCTGTTTTCACGACTGTGATTTTTTTCCCATTTCTTAAAATGCAACCAAAATTGAATTTCTCCTTATAATTTCTCCATATAACAAAGGCTTGGAAAACTCTCAACTGTAGGTTTTTGTTTGCTTTTTGTTTTGCTTTGACTTTCAGCCAATGTGTAAGATATGAACATGTGAAAAGTATTTCCTTAAGTTGTAAAAGAGAAGCAGGGGGATAGCTACTTACTTCCACTAGGAGTAGCAGTAGAAACTAAACTTGGTGATCTCATTACAGCAATTATTAAACATTTTATTTCTGGAAGACCTATCATCCCAGAGATTCAAGGGGCAATGCTATTGTAACGAGAAACAACCCTTTAAGGGGGAACAAAACTTCCAGCACTGACTCTTTCTATAGGATGTCCTCAATTTAGCACCAAGGAAGCAGCATGATTCAAGTCAACTCCAACAGAGATCTTATTCTTTGGAGAAAAACAACAAAACCAGATTGGGTCTGGGCTTGAATATCCCTATGCTGCAAGCTCCACAAAGTAGCAAGTGTCTGCGGAGGGCTGATCAGGAATTCTAGGCACACATCCACATGCAAATGGGAAGAAAGTACAGCACTACAGCCTTCAACAGAAGAATTAGCTAACCTCCTTTTAAAAAGGGGTGAGGGGGCGGGACAGGAGGGAGAAGAAAGGAAGAAAGGATATTGGGCCAACTTTAAAAAGGAAAGCTGGGAATAGTTTTTTGTAGATCCCCCTCTTTAAAAGATCTTTATTTTTAAGAACAAAATAAAACAAAACACCTAATGATAAGATGTAACAAGCACCAGTAGGGTTCAAAGTGACCCAAGGTCTTCTTTGTGTTCAGATTGAGGGAAGCTTCCTACAGAGATTTTTTACTGGCTAATTTTCCCCTCCCCCCTTAACGGAAGAATTTCCTTGCGTGGACATCTTGGAAAGTCTCCGTGCTGGGAGTCTGAACTTTCCCACAGCAGTGGAGTGTGAATTGTTTTGTTCTACATTAATTTAGGTTTAAGCAGCCACAATCCCAGACGCTGCCAGAGCGTTTGCCCCGTGCTTCTCGATACGATGCAAATTAAGCATTCCTTACAGCTGTAGCTGACAACAGGAAGTCTCAAAGAACCTTTAAAGCAAAGGAAGAAAAATTGGCCTTGTTTATTCATTCACTGAGCATGCTCCACTAGCAGCACACATCATGTGATTTCCAGTTTCCAAGGCAACAACTGTGATGCTAAGTACACACTGTCCTATGCCAAAACAAGAGACTTGGGGGATTGAGGGTAGCTTTTGTAAAATAAAAAAATGAATGTACAGACCTTATGTAGTATCATCATACATTTATAGAGGCTGATCTTTTCATTGCCTCCTTATTTGCAGCTGAACACAACACAGGCAGTTGTCAATAGATCTAAGCCTCTGCAGCTGTAGTAGCAAGATATTCATTAGCTGTATGGTGTGACAAAAAGAGAGTCCTGATAAATTATATCAGAACGGTATTATCTGAAACAAAGGCAGACAGCCTGTAACCTTGAGCTACTCATTTCTAATCCTTGCACATTCACAAGCATCAGTTGCTCAATAAAGTTAAACAAGCAGTTCTCAAAGTCTGAGCTGTCCCCTCCCCCTCTGCCCTCACAGTTGCCAGGAAGACTTGCACAAAGTCCTTCCTGACCCCTTTCCCACAGTCTCTTTCGACTGGGGCAAGAGGCAACGTGCAAACTCAGCCCCTCTGGAATGGTGAGTACAATGGAAATCGGGTGTTCCCTTGTGTTGGCTGCTGTGGGCAATTTAGTTCAATTGAGCCACCCTCTATATTTAACAGGCTTTTTGTTCCCTGAGAGACTCTAAGGGACCAATAAGCATGGTTCATGAGCCACTGGGCCTTCACTTTTTTACTTTTAATACCTTCTTTCAAGAATAGCTGCAAGATCAGATCATACTCTTGCCGTTTCTCATCCCAATAATATGGATTGGCTTAAGCTGCAGTGGCAAATGTAGACTTGTGTTATTGTGCTGACGAAATGTCACCCACACCTCTCTTTCAAATTATCCATAAAAAGCCACTCAAGGGCCAGGAGGACACCCAGTCCCTCTCTATAACCACCAAGTGCCCCAGTACGCCTTGGATGGTACAGTTGTGTCCATGACAAGCAGATATTAGGAGCTGTGGGATAGCTCAATCCAATGCTTTTTTCGGGGTGTGTGTGTGCAGGAGTATGCATACCGCTAAACATTTCGTGAATCTAAGTTTGGCCTAATTGAGGGGCAGTATTTCAATATGAGTAGGAAAATGAGAGTACCCCTAAACATTTTTTAAAAGAAAAAAAGCACTGGCTCAATCAGTAGAGCATGAGACTCTTAATCTCAAGCTCATGGGTTCAAGCCCCTCCCTGAGTAAAAATAAAATACAATTCTGCATTGCAGGGGGTTGGACTCGATTACATGTGTGGTCCCTTCAGTTCTATGAGTATGATTCTAAGGAAAGAAGCCAGGCTCAGGTCCTAGGAGCTACGTTCTCAGCAGAGCATCTCATAGGCTGAGCTACTAGGTGCAGCTGAAAAGTTATTTTGAAGAGTTATGTTCCTGACACTAGAAGGCATCCTTGTCACAGCAATCATATCAATTTGCAGATGAGAGAGTTGCTCCTTTTGGATGTGTGAGTTCTTTAATTATCTGTTATCATATCCTCCCTGGAATACAGGATGTGCTGGTGCATACAGATTCCATGTGTGCAAAGTTCTCTTCCGATGTGGTGTGTGTGGCTGGTTGTGGCTTACAAAAACTCGGTCCAAGCCTTGCAAACGGAATGGGACTTACAGCAAATGGTGATAAATTTTTAAGGTGGAAAATGAAACTGTCTTCAAAGAGAAGATTGAGAAAGCTTAGCTGTCACAAAAAATCACCTTGGTGACTGTTACCTTAAAGGTGACTTAGCCCCTAGAGTTATTTTGGTTTTAGGAAAAGCACTGAAATTGGGTCACCTTCAGCATGCAGTGCAAGTCTACAGTTCCAAGGCACAAAAAGGTGCTATTCAAATGGATTCTGCCAAACCAAAATATTTCTAAAATATTCACAGAAGGACAAAGAAGCAGTGGAAATATTGTATCACTAATTTTGCCAAGTGTTTTGTTCCAGGGGTTTATACATGTTAGAATACAGCATGAAGAGCAAGAAAAACCTTGCTTTTGGAAAGGGTGTATGTAGCTTCCTAGGTTCCTTGTTGGAAGGATGCTCATACATATTATCTTTCTGTCTTAACAGTCCACTTCCACAAACACACTGTAGTGATGATTAAGGTGGCTATGCACTTATTGTTGACCTTCAGGAACACAACCATCAGAGAGATCTGTCTCTGTAAATGAAGATAATGTACTACCCCTGGACTGGCAGAAAAGATTCCAGACACAGTAAAAATGCATTTTATAAGTCCCAAGAAGTGGTGAAGAGTCTCAGATCTACAGTGGTACCTCTGGTTACGTACTTAATTCGTTCCGGAGGTCCGTTCTTAACCTGAAACTGTTCTTAACCTGAAGCATCACTTTAGCTAATGGGGCCTCCTGCTGCCACTGCATCGTCACTGCACGATTTCTGTTCTCATCCTAAAGCAAAGTTCTTAACCCGAGGTACTATTTCTGGGTTAGTGGAGTCTGAAACCTGAAGCGTATGTAACCTGAAGCGTATGTAACCCGAGGTACCACTGTATTAGTAAAGTGTCTCCGGAACAACCACATTCTTTTGTGATTCCAGATTCATTTCAGAGAGGAGGGGCCTGAGCAAGGCTAGAAGGGGTGGGGGTGGGGAGCTGATAAGACAAGAGAAGGTGGAAGTAATAACATATTAAGTTTCTGATAGCTCTAGTTCAGTATCCTGTTCTCACAGTGGCCTGGGGAGAAATGTTTCAATTTTTGAAGCTACAAAATCTGCCTTCCAAAGGCTAAATTGCTCACAAGGTTTCAGGAGGCCTTTCATGCAGTTTGTAGTAACTCAAAGGAAGCGTGATTCAGCTTGGAGAAGTCTTTAATCTGTCTAAAGATGCTCATTTCAGGGTTTGTTTGATTACACTATAAACCCCTGCTTTTGTGATAACATTTCACAGCATTCCAAAGCTCACACCTTTTAACCATTTTTGTCCTAAAGGAGAACAAAAGTGTGTGCCAATTCAGAGTAAAGGAAAGTACTGGTCCAAGAAACATTGCTGTCACTCTTAATTGGCTTCATTAGCCCTCAGTGATATTCTGACTTAGCTAAATCTGATTGGCTGTGAAGCATCATGACATGGTCACATTGACTATACCATGGGTAGGCAAACTAAGGTCTGGGGCCGAATCTGGCCCAATCGCCTTCTAAATCCAGCCCATGGATGGTCCAGGAATCAGTGTGTTTTTACATGAGTAGAATGTGTCCTTTTATTTAAAATGCATCTCTGGGTTATTTGTGGGGCATAGGAATTCATTCATCCCCCCCAAAAAAAATATAGTCCAGCCCCCCACAAGGTCTGAGGGACAGTGGACTGGCCCCCTGCTGAAAAAGTTTGCTGACCCCTAGACTATATGATACCTGGCTGGCAGGCATTATCCTTCTGATAGTTAGTGGAGAACCTTAAATTAGTGCAGAATGGGGATGTCAAACTTTTGATAGGTTTGAGACAACCCGATAATAAAACACCGAATCTGCTACAGATACACTGGCTGCCTATATACATCTGAACCCAATTCAAAGTGCTGTTGTTGGCCTGTAAAGCTCTTTATGGTTCAGGATCCCAATATCTTCTGGACCACCACTCTTGATATGAACCTATCTCTACCTTTAGATCTTCATCCAAGGGAAGCTCAGCATGTGTTGGCAAGGGGGTGAGCTGTCTGTCGAAAGTTCTTCCCAGGGAGGTCTGCTTGACACATTCACTGGCATCTATTTGGTGACTAACCCTTTCCCCCAGGCTTTTGGTGGACTGAGTTGATGACAAAGCTTTCTGTAAAGGTTTTTTGGGGGGATCGGGTGGGGTAGGGTTTGTTTTGTGTATATCTATCAATAGCTATATAGATATGAATTGTATGTTCTTTGTATGAATTTGTTAATAGTATGTTGTACTTATTCTTGTTTTTAAATGTGTTGTAACTTACTTGGGAATCTTTGGGTAAGAAGTCTAAGAATAATAATAACACCTTCTGGCTCATCTAGTCCCCAATACAAGAAATTAGCATCATAGGGCAATTGAATTATAGCTCTAGGAAGCAACTAAGTGAATTTTGGATAGAGGGATTGCCCAACTGTAAATCACCCCTCCCACCCAATTCCTTGGGCTCTCCCAAACAGTAAATTTCAAGTTAGAATCAGTCAAACACTGTTTCATGAAATCTCCATTGCTTACCGTATTTTATCACACTCCACCAAGTCTTTTGCCGAAATTACAATTTAGGCTGCAGTCCTAACCCTACTTATCTGAACTTAACAGGATTTACTTCAGAGTTGACCTGGCTGGGTTGTGTTGTTCAATATGAAGTTGAAGAGCTTCATGGGACTGCAGTATAGAAATACAAAACTGCAATGTTTACACAAGATTGGTTTAGATGGTCTAGGGTGACACTATGTGGTTAATTCAAGCACTGAAATAGCAACAGCATATACAGGTTTCAAAGATAAATGTTTTCTTTTCAAGCTGTTAGAACAAACCTTGGTTTTAAATGAATCAATCCTTCTTACAAAGCACATCATTTGTTTCATGTCCATTTTTTAAAGAGGCTGCTACCACCGTGACTTAAAATTGTTCTCATCCTAAACATGTGCAATACCCCTAGACTTGGAATGCATACTGGGAAGGTTTCTATGCATAAAATGGGGAGGTGCTTGAAATATGGATGCAAAGTAAACATCTGAGGTTCTGTTTGTTGCCTGAAAGTGTCTTAACAGATTACTGCACATTTACCAAACTAGTAAAGAGTGATCTGTTAATAACAACTTAGAATAGGAAACAAAACCAAACAAAACCCCTTTTGCTAAATTTAAAGATACTCAACCCAGAGAGACACAATTAAAATGCACAGATCAACTGTATAGTGTTCCCTCTCACAGTGGAGTAGCGAGAACACCTGTAACTTTCTACAATGGAAAGACACATGCAGATGTGTGATCAATGTGCAGGATCTGCCCTCTGGTCTCAATCCAAAAAGAAACACTGCATACTCATTTCTTCTGATGACTGATCAGAACCTAAAGATGACAACTATGATTATCTTATTATTTATACCAGGCACCCCCAAACTTGGCCCTCCAGCTGTTTTGGGACTACAGTTCCCACCATCCCTGACCGCTGGTCCTGTTAACTAGGGATGACGGGAGTTGTAGTCTCAAAACATCTGGAGGGCTGAGTTTGGGGGTGCCAGATTTATACACACCACCAAGCAAGGAGACCTATTGGCTTTGGGTGGAGTGCACTGAGTTGTGCTATGGATTTATTTATTTTTAATGGCGAGTGTATGCCAACAACTATCTGTGGATCTGTATCTAAATAACTTCCTACACAATAAAGCCACTATAAATACCTGAAATGAACACGACTTTGGTGTGAATAACAGTGCTGGTCTTTAAGCGAGTTCTTTTTTAATAAAAAGGTTTTTTGGTTTTCTAGATCTCTGTGTGAGTCGTCTGCCAGATGGTGGAACTGTCAGTTTTGACACCGCCCAATCGTATTTCAAAAGGTGTGTGTCGCTGAAATGAGCCATGGGGATGGAGTGTCACACTTCTCTGGGTAAAGGGCTTTGGATCCAAGTAAGAATAGCAGGGATCCTGTTCTTCATAGTGCTGAGACCCCCTCAAAAATGCCATCCCACTTTTGCCACTTCATTTTCACAGCCTTCTTCATGGACTGCAAAAGTAGGTCTGGATTTTTGGAAATATTCTCTTGGTGCAGGAGAAATTCAACAAGAATCAGGGAGCCTGATCGTAAGTGGTGGCAGAACCAACTTTGAAAATAGATCATTTCCTTAACTAGCAGCTCTTATAATACTTGCAGTGATAGAAATTCCATCAATGGCCTAGTGGACTGTCATTTTCTTTAGTTTCATCCTTCCTCATTTTGCCTCTTGTGATGGATAGGAATGTTGGAGAATTCTGACCAAAGCAGGACTAGAAATTGCCAATATTCACTTGTTCATCCCTTGTCTGGAACAGAAATTAATCCAGTACAACTGTTGTTGTATTCAGTCCTCAAATGATATATAACAATACATAATTTATGAACCCCTGCCCCCAAATTTACATTGTGTTTTCTCTGCATTGAAGTGAATGGTGTAGAATAATGTAAAGATAATATAATTATGTAATTAATTACATAAAACATCGCCATAGCAGACACCAGGGCAAATAATGCTGCTTTTGTTGGAAGCAGAATGGAGACCATA